CAGCCAGCAGAAGCGGCGGTGGAGCCATGTGCTGCTTGGGACTGACTGGTGCAGGCAGGGGGAAAGTACAGCTGAGCCCCTGCTGCTCCGGCCAGCCTCATCCCATCCCGAGCAGCACATGGCTCCTCCACCGCTTCTGCTGACTGGTGCAGACCTGGCCGGGCTCGTCCCGTCCCGTCCCCAGCAGCTTGTGGGAAGCCAGCTTCAGCCGCATGCTGCTCTGGATGGGACGGACCCAGCTGGGTCAGCACCGGCTAGGAAAAGCGGCATGCAACTGAAGTCGGCTTCCCACATGCTGCTGGAGACAGGAGGAGCCTGGCTGGGTCTGCACTGGCCAGAAGTGGCGGTGGAGCCGTGCCCCACTCGGGACGGGACGAGCCCAGCCGGAGCAGCAGGGGCTCAGCTGCATTTTCCCTCTGCCTGCACCGGTCAGTCCTGAGCGGCACATAGCTCCACTGCTGCTTCTGCTGGCTGGTGCTGACCTGGCTGGGCTCCTCCTGTCCCCAGGAGCACATGGGAAGTCGGCATAGGGGGGCCTTGGCAGGCGGGGTCCTGGTGTGACCTCTGTGGGATGAGGCGGCGGGAGCCGGTGTCTGCTGGACCCCGCGCTCTGGGCTCGCAGCACTGAGGCCACCGGGGCTGCGTGCATGGGCGGCCGGGCACCACGGTGAGTGGGGCCATGCGGGTGAGGGGCTACGGTGCAGCGGCTGCCTTGCTCCAGCCCCCCGTAGGCAGCGCCAGCTCATGGGGCTGTGCTGCTCAGGGGATGGAGATGTAGAGCTATTTATTTCTCCCCTTCAGTCTCTGGGGCAGTAGCTGGCTGGATGCAGAATGGGTCCCTCCTGTCCCTGTCTACCAGCAGCTACCACGAACCTTGCAGTAACAGGCAGGTTCAGTAGGGCTGCACAGGCAGGGTCTCTCTGGCCCAGGACGGAGGGTGTTTGAATATGGCTCACCAGCCCACTGGGTAATAAAAAGTTCATGATACAGTCCCACATTCAAAAAGGTTGGACACCCCTGATTTAGGCAATTTGGATAGGGCCTTGCTTGTGATGGTAGTAAAGTCCCAGAGTTATCTGGTGAGTGGTCTGTAACGTTTAGCTATAGTTCTAGGATATCCTCTCAGTTTGTAACTAAGAGTGATTCTCAACCATGGTGCCTTGAGATCCTTTCAGGGGTTCTGTGGGTTGCCACACAATGTTAGTATTGTTAGGTATGCAAGCATGATTCACAAGATAAACCCAGGGGCCATGTGCAGATGAGCGCAGACATTTGGTTCTCTGGGGACAAGAAGCAGAGGTATACCTTGTGCCACTGCTACTTGTCCCTGGGGAATGCCCATGCCATGCGCCCTCCAGGCATGTGGCAGGTTACCCTGGGTGGGGTAGGGAAGGCTGGGGACAGCAACTGTGCTGGCCTCAGCAGCCGTACCTGGGGGCCAGGGAAGCTGCAACTGCAACATTCCTGCAGCTTGGAGCCTGGCCAGCAGCTGGAGCATGGCTCTGGTTAGCTAGCTGCACTCATCTGGATGCGGCCAGGGATTTCAAACTATAGTTTTAAATACATTTGGATGACCTGTTGTGGTTTTTCTGAGTTCTGTTTAACAGAAAAATTGCTCTGTTATCTTCTACTGATGTGCTGTGTCATCTTGGGTAAATTACTTCAACTTTTGTTTCTCAACCTACCCTTTGTCTCTTTAGATTGTAAGTTTTTTGGGGCAGGCACAGTCTTTTAGTGTGTTTGTACAGAGCCTTTCATGTGAAGTCTCAGTTTTAGCAGGAGCCTCCAAGTAATGTTCTATTATAAAGAAGTAAACAGTGGGCACATGTACTTGAGATGTGCAATAGCCTGATACTTCTGCTCAGTAGTGTTGCACGGCAACAACCATGACATGATGCTGCTGTGCAGTAACATTAGGCTACTGCATAGTAGCGTCACAAAAGGCATTTGCTGGTTCTACTGCACAGTAACTTGGGTTAATATGCATTTATTTAGTACTCGTATAGACATGTATTAAATAAATGTGCAGTAACCACTACACAGTAGTGTCTCATGTAGACGTGGCCACTGTTAACAATAAAAGGTGATGATAGGAAAGTAATCCAAAGTGAGCTCATTTGAATACTATATATTACAGATATCTTTCGAGATGACTTAGAGCCCTGGAATACACAATAATTTAAAACAGAATGAATTTAGTGGTACTGAAAATCTAGTTTATTTTCCTGTGCTAAAAAAGATCCACTGAAGTGCATTTTGTGTGGCAAGTTGATTGGTGAAGGAGGAGAGGCTGTCTCAAGAATATTAGTTTAGCTGGTCATTTCAGTTATGATTTGTGATGAGTCTTTAAAACACTCTGATCAAATAATCCTATGCTCCCTTAAAAAGAAAGTATATATTTAGATGCTTAACTATACCTACAGCTTTTCCTTTTTTAGGAATTGTGAATGTGCCTACAATGTCTGATAGGCTTTTAACAATATTTAAATCAAAAGCTCTAAATTAAAATGATTGGTAACTAAAAAATGGTGTGAGGAACGTATCTTGAATAAAATTATTCTTACTGATACAAATGTTAGTAAAAACCCTTTGAAAAATGGTGTTACCATTTTGTAAAGAAAAGGTGAACTTCCTCCCCTTCTTAGTGCTTACTAGTAAAATTGTAATGTTTTCATGTTGTAGGAGACAAAGTGGAGTTTCTTCAAAAGAAAAGTGAAGCAAAGTACAAATTTTGAAAATCCAATATATGCAGAGGTAATGTTTAACATGATATCACACTCCTCCTTAGTCTGCATTTCTAGATAGCTTATGATAAGGGAAATATTAATTAACATTTTCTTTTCTACAAGAAATTTGATGGATAAGACTTTGCTGCTAAGTGACATAGCACAGAACTTGCAGTCTGGGAGGAGATGAGACTGAGGTGGTTTTAAGCAATGTTTGTGGCCTCCAAATCCTGGGCGGCTCTTGGGCTTGAAGAGATCCCCAGGATAATTTAGACCTCCCTGATGGCTCATCTGAGGATAGTTCTACTTCAGTAATTTCAGTCTTGAGGCTGCCTTTGAAAAATAAGCCCCATCCATCCCCTTTTATTTGGTATGCTCCAAACATGGAGTGTAGCAGTGAGGTACTCTGAGGCATCCTCAGTCCCTGCTCTCCCAGTCTCAGTCTCTCCTGTACTTCAGAACAATGGTGGAGGACATATCTGGGGCAAGTGGAACTGGAGCAGGTTGGCAGGGCTTATTTTGGTAGCAGCCTCAAAAGTAGCCTAGAGAAGTGGCCACATTCAGCCCCTCAGGTCAGATTCACCATGGGGTTGGTGCACAAGGTCAGTCCTCGTGTACAGTCCAGCACACGAGGCCGTGTCATCCAACCTGTAGGGCTCCTTGGAGATCAGGAAATTTGACAACAAGGAAACAGTGGCAGCATTAATTGCCATGGCAACTAGAGCCACTTTCCAGAGCTATGGCAATTAACATTACTCCTGTTCCCCTGCTGCCTATTTTATAGACCTGTGGGGAGCTCCATGGGCTATAGCTGTATGACACAGTGCCATGGGTTGAATTCAGCCTGTGAGCTGGAGGTTGAGCCTCACTGGTCTAGAGGTAGTGTAGATGTACCCTAAATAGCAACAGTCCTCTGGGACACTAGAACCACAGACAGCTCAGCACCGTGGACTGCACCCCTTCACCCTCATCAGCCCTGTACCTCTAACCAACCTCAGCATACTTATGAGGAGTTTTTCTTATGTAAAAGCTCTATGTAAAAACTCTTTATGTAATTGCAATGTATCCAGAAGCCCCACTGACTTCAAGACCTCTTAGGTGTTTAGCATTTCTTTTGGCCCATAATAAATTGTTTTTATGGTTGTAATTTCAGATGGAGAAGGAGCAACGAGGAGACACTGAAAATGCCCCTCCCCCTTCTCCTTCAACACCTCCTAAGATCGTTCTCAAGAGAGACCAACCTTTAGCTTATACAGCAACAGAGGATACATTTAAAGATACGGCCAATCTTGTTAAAGAGGACTCTGTTGTATAATTAGTTAATCAGTTAGGGAATTGACATATCCATTTGCACAAATATTTTTTATAAACTGAAAAGAGGTTCACATTCAGATGCTTTATAAAAATATATACACTGTTTAGCTAATAGCTGGAAATGTATCTTGAAACTATGCCTTGTTTTTTTGACAAATGCCAACTACTATTTTTATGAACAATTATCACGATGTACTATATGTATATCTTTGCACTGAGTGGTCTGAAAGTAATGTTATAAATATATTGTACATTTGTAAATTTTTGAAAGATTATCTTTTTTGAAGTTGCTATTAGAAATCAGTACTAAATTGGTTACTGCATATTTAGGGAAAAATTCATTATATAAATGATTGAACTAAAAAAAAATCAAGGTAAATATAGGAGCATTACTTGATATACAGAAACTTTTAGAACATATATTTATAACAGCACCTTTTAAAACTGTATATGTAAAAATGGGTCTTTCTTGTTCTACCATTCTGAATATTTCAAATTAAACAAAAGATAGAAAATTCAGTGCAGCAATTTTGGCTGAAATGCTACTAGCTAAAAATATTGTTCTTAATTTTTTTGCCTGTTTGATATAGAATAATTTCCCCTGATCTTAATATATGTGCTTTCTCTTTAGGTACCAATTTTAAAAAAAATCTTAACAGTGTTCATAGGAAGATTTTATGTATTTAAATTTTAGTGCTTGAAGTAATTCCATAATTAATTTAATGAATTTTTCTACTGATCAGCAATGAAATAGTTTTGTTCTTGGCTGGAGTCTCTGAAATACTTTTGTACTGTTAAATAAAGTAGCTAGATTTCTAAAACATCTTATTCTGTACAGCAAAATACAAACAACGCTGTTTCCTTTAAAAAACAAACAAACAGCTTTTTCATGTGAAACTTTAATTTTGTTGACTATTTATTTCCTGAGGTGGACATTACTAGAAAGGGAAACAGTTTTTAGTGATGCAGTCTTCGTAGTTATCTGGTTATTTCCATATCTTTCTTTCAGAATGTACTGTGCATCTTGCTAGCTTTTCTATTAAGCCAGTGTAGTTTCCATAACATGAACCATTTAAGGAAAGTCTGAGTACTGCTGCAGAAATGTATAATATGTCATTTTACATTCTTGGCTAGCTACACATAACGGCAGATTTCTAAATTTATAAACAGTGAGACTTCTGCTATTTGATTGTTTTATACCTGAGTTCTTAAAATATATGCTGTGTCTATTTAGAATGCTTGTTGCAATTATTTCAAAATGTATGTTGAGTAGAAAATATGACTGGAAAATGCTGCTGCTGAGTAAATCTAATAAATGTATTATTTTATCATATTTTAATCCATAAATTGAATCTATCCACCTATAAATCTGACATAATTTGCTGATGTCAGTATAGTCTGAGAAAAAACCAAACTGTGCTTTAGAGAAACACTAATAAAAATATTCCTCACTGCTTTGTACATTGAGCCTAATTCTGAACTCATAGTAAAGTAAAGAAGGAACTCCACAGTAGTAAACAATAAAATGAAATCATATCTATTTAATATATTTAACATGTATAATTCCCTTGTAAGTAGGAAATAGTGTCATTCAGAGCTGTAGACTGGGAGTAGAAAGTTTTTACTTTTTGAAGACCAGAGAACGAAGTCAGTGTCAAGGACTTGTGTTGGAGGTGGGAAGTTCCTGACTCTCCTGACTGTAGTTCTCCTTAACAACAGTAAATCACAATAGGCCAAACTGGTTCATATCGTCAAAGTGCATGTCATTCTAATAGCACTGATAATAGTGGTAGACTCGCTTGGACAAATCACATGCAAGTTAATAGGTTCACATATGCAGGTGATATTGCTAATATCCTCCTTAATTTTTTACCATCTAAGAATAATCTCATGATTATTCTAATAAAGAGGAATGCGTTTCAAAGTGTTGGTCAATGTACATGTATTGAAGCAATATACTAATCCAGGTGCAAAAAAAATGAGGTCTCAGGACAGCAATATAGCAAGCACACTTGTTCTTATAGTCAGAATTCAGGTAATATATTGGAAGCCTCCAGTCACCATGGAGAAAGAAATGTGCTCAAGCAAATATCAGCAAAAGTCAATTATGTTTTTTTCTGACTTCCATCCTTTTGATATTACTTACTTCCTGGGCCAAGCTTCGTTCAGTATTTCTGTTATTCGGAGAATGCTAGTTGGATACCTGGTGTGGCGGGTGCAGAGATCCCACCTCAGGAACACAGCTGGGTATTCGTATCCCTCTGCTGTTTCCACCACGTGAGGCGGGCCAGTAGGGGGCGCTCCTG